TGTATGCATCATGTGTGAATCACATTAGGTGCCTACTGCAGTAGTGGTGATACACAATGTTGCCACATTTGTGCCAGAGAAAATAAGACCCTAGCATGACCACATGTGCACTGCCCATATTTGAAATGAAATAAGGAATAGGATTATGGGATAAATTGAAATCATGTCACAGTCAACATATATATATATATATATATATATATATTTGAATATATAATCAAATGAATAAATATAGGTAAATGTACGAGTAAGTGTTCATATACAAATACATATATGACAAGCTTTCCTCTTTTAAATACAGTACTAAACTAGCAACCAGGTCTCATAATTTTACTATTGAAATTGCTAGATGTAACCGTAAGTTCTATGCTGACATTACCTTCTCTCACACTTCTCACTTGTGGAACTCTCTTCCAGCTCCATACTTTCCTGTCAACTACAATCCTCAAATATTTTAATTCAACATCCATCGTTATTTTCTCTCTTTTTGAATCCTGTTCTTTTGCTGTCCTTTCTTCTCAATAATGTTTTCTCAGTTACTTTCACACTCAGTAACCCATTGTGTTTCAGTGGCTTTTATCACCTTGCTTTGGGCAAAATGATTAATATATATATATATATATTAATCATATATAAACACATATATATATATATGCATGTGTGTGTGTGGGTGTGAGTGTGTGTGTGTGTGTATATATATATATATATATATATATATATATATATATATATCATTTATGAAAAACTAGGTAATCCGTAAGGGTAGACCCAAGGAGGATAAAATCCAGAGAGCTCAATGTAAATCCAGAGCAAATAATTTAAATAAAAACGGACGACTTTAAGGTTCCACGTAATAAATTATTTCACCACAGACCTTTTAAAGGACTGCAGATCATCAATCTTTACTTCCAAAGGTTGAAAGAAAAAATGAAAAGAAATTTACACATTTTTGATGGGCCATATTAAGCATATGTAAAATAACGAAGTGAGGAAGTGAGGGGGGAGAGAGAGAAGACATGAGGGAGATATATATATATATATATATATATATATATATATATATATATATATATATGATGCTGAATGTTACCACAACTGTGAAAGAGAATGTAAGTCCCTATCAGGACTAAAAAGCCCATATCTACACACAGAGCATATCTGAATATGAATCAAGTGATGGCATTACACAAAACCAAGACAGAGTCATTATTTATATATATATATATATATATATATATATATATATATATATAATGGACTCTCCCATTATTTTTGAAGTAAGGGTCCAGTCGCTCAATTCTTAGAACCGAACATCCAGAGTACCCACACATGATTTGCTTATAGTGTTGATGTCTTGTGCAGAACCAGCCATATTCTTCAGACTAACCTAATACAGCAAACTAGTGCACACAGTGTGGAACAATGTCTCCAAACAATTAGCCTCATATTTTGAATTCAGAGTTTTCCCTGTCCTAGACTGTTTGCTAACCCAGGTTATAGAGCCCAGTCTGTCTTGCTATTTACCCATAGGTGGAGGGAGAAGATATAGATTCATGCCTTTTCCAAAGGCACTTGATCATAAGTGAATGTAACAAGCTTGACTGGAATACAAACTCAGATCTCTAATTTCTCATTCTGAGATACTATACATTACATCACCACACACACATACACACACACACACACACACACACACACACACACACACACAGACACACTTATATATGACATATACTAACACTGCAATATCTGCTGTGTAAGAGAATGTAAGATCCTAGCAGGACTAAAAAGCAACATCCATACTGCACATATTTGAAGGTAAAAATAAAATGATAACATTACTCAAAATCAAGTCACAGCTGTCATCGCAAAAAATATTTTAATTCAAAAAAATTTATAGTCATCTGAAAGTCAGTTAGTCATTGTATTAAAATATTCTTTATGGTTAGCATCATTTATTTACTATATTATTTACTGCTCATGACTCTTCAGGAGTAGGTTGGGCCTTCACAGCCATCTCCATAACTACTATCAAACAAGAGAAAGAGAATAAGGATAAAGGATGATGATCCCAATGCAAAAATGGCTGCCAATGACTATAGGTTTTCTGTATTTTTTCAATATATATCACAAAATTTGTTTTTCTTAATTTTATTTCAATAAATAATTTAGTAAATATAAACTTTATAATGTATATAAAGTTTATATTTAATGAATTTATTTAATTATGTTTATTAATATTTACTAAACAACTGACATCATATTAATTATGTTTACTAACTTATTTAATTATGCTATCTTCAGTCATTTTCATATTGCTGTTTTGTATAGGTTCCTGAACATATTTACATTATGTTATTCCAAACCTTGCATTTAGTTAAATGTTCTTTTCCAGCAAAGTGTTAAGGATTAAACAAAAAATCTTTCTTACCCATTCTATTTCAGGTAAATCTTCCTTTTAGTAATCCTCACCACTTTCTGGATAAAAACAAGATCTGGCCATTTCTCACTGCATTTTCAAGGTAGTAATTTACCATATAATACTCAGAGCATAATATTTTCTGCTTGCTTTTTTTAGCTGTGATTGAAGGAAGAGGTGGAACTAGTCTTCTTTTTGTCAGACTGTCCATCTCGAGGCTATTTACAGAATGCAATCCTAGCCTACCCACAGTACATTCTCAAATCAACATAACAATTTGCCAATTTTACCTACATATTTATCTACTTGCAACACAGATAAATTATTTCTGTTTATTTACTGAGTCGATGCCTATGATGAAAAATTCTGAACTCTTTCTGTTCACAATGATCATATTTAGTCTTTTCAATATTTTATATTTGTATTTTTGAACAAACTAAAACATCGTTGATATATAAAGAGTGAGAAAGGGAAATATCAATTTTGTTATTTTTCAATATTGGTTTTATTTGTAAAATTCATAAGAATTTTACAAATAAAACCAATTTCAAATCAAATTATTGGCTAGCAAAACCATTTAGAAAAAACATTTGTATAACAAATAATTTACAATATATTTTTAGAGTATCATATTTTCTACTCATATATTTTGTATCTAAATTCATTTAAAAATTAAAAAATGGATGTGGCTTATGCACAAGATTGAGAAACAATTATAGAAAACTTAATAATTTAAAGATATCTTCTATATGGACATCCCTTCAGGACATGGGTGATAGTGGCTCTCCCCAACTTCCTATCCCTTGTGGTCCTTATCAGTTTTTCTCCCTCTCCTAAGGCTGCCATCCCCAGTTCTGCCAGTCACTCACACAAGCTTGTCAGGTAAGTGACTCACTGTCTTTCCCTATTTCTCTTGCTGTTGATATATCCCATGAGGATTAAGTTTTCCAAGCACACCTTCCTCATTATGTCCATGGAATTTCTGTGATTTGTTGCTGATTTTGAGTAGTTTTCTTTCTGTTGCCATTTTCTTAAAACTTTTTGTTGCTTACTTGCTCTGTTCATGGCATTTTCAGTATCCTTGTGTAGAAGCAGATTATTGCTACCTCCAGTTTTCTCCTCATTCATCCAGCATTCTCTGCCATATAAGAAAATGGATATCACATAGCAATTCAGCTCTCTTTTCTTTATTTCTAACAAAATTGTTGTTTTTCAGCACCTTGCTTAGCTTTTGGAATGCTTATTTTGCTAGTCCATACATGTTCAAATCTTGCTGTCACGTTTTCCATCCCCTGTTAAAACACTTCCCAGATATTTAAACTTCTGCACCTGCTTCACATTAACATCCCCAATTGGGCTTTTTTTTCTTGTTGACAATCATAGTTTCTGTTTTCTTGCAGTTGATGGTTAGTCTCTTTTGCTTGCTTGCTTCCTTCTACTAAGAGATCCTGTAGTTGCCTTTCTGAGTTAGCCATCAACAAAGTATCATCTATGTATCTTACGCCCACTGATAATAATGCTTAACTGTATTGCCAGTAGTTAGACCACATGTGCAACAAACTAAAGAAGGAGTATCCCACTTTGGCTAATCGAAGACAGGCTTTGTTTTAACTAGACAATGCAAAGCCGCATACTGCCAGGCTGACTAAGATGTTCAAACAGATGGACAGTGTTGCACATCCACAATACAGTCCTGTTGCTGCTCCAAGTGACTATGGCCTATTCCACTCAATGGCACACTTCCCCAACCAGCAATTCAACTCTTTTGATGAAGTGAAGAAAGCTTGCTTACAGTTTTTTTGATTCAAAGCCAGTAAACTGGTATCTGAGATAGATCTGGATGCTGGCTGATTGCTAGCAGAAGATTGCCGAGAATGATGGACTTTATTTTGAAGAATAAACATTGGTGTTGCACCATAAAATTTTGTTGTTTTCTAAGTCAGGATACTTTGGCAAACCTAACATTTAATTCAAATCTGCATGACTTTTATATAAAAGTGACTTACATCTACTAAAAGTGACTTATTATATACTTATATATAGTACAGAAAATCATTTACAAAGAATTTTTCAAAATAAATCATTGATATAATATGAATATTATAAAATTTTCTAAAATAACTTAACTTTAATGCAGTCAAGGAAATAAACCAGATGCTTTTAAGTTCAAGTTATTTGGTTCACTACATAAAAAAAGAAAAGATTTATTCAACAAAAAATAAATCATAATAATAATGAGAACAACTGAGGAGAACTTTCTGGATCTTAATGATTACTCATCTAAAAAAAATACATTTTAAATTGGACTTGTTTCATTTTTATTTGCATGCATCAATGTTGCCATGATGCAGTAGCATTGCATATAACTGCAGTATCATTGATTGAACATTAAACTAGATAAGACTCAAGTTTGAATAATATGACAGACAATTACAGCCCCACAAAGTTAATAAACCACAGAAAAAAGAAAAAAATACTAAAAATTATTTTAAATTCTAAAATCACCAAGAATTTCAATGATAATGATATCTTTAAAAAGGGTGAGACAATATTTGAATTCATGCTTTCTTCATGAGAAACTTACAGCCATATCATGCTGAAACACTGGTTCTCATCTGATCACTAAAATTAAGCAATAACAAGCCTGATCAGTACCTAGATGGGTGACCACTTGGACTACCAGGTGCTGTAAGCTTGGATATGTGGGTGGTGTAATGGACAATAACTTGGAACTTTTAATCGGAGAGATGAGTTCTAACTCCAATTGGGTTCATTATATTCCCTTCCATGCAAATACCTTTGGGAAAAGCATGACCCCCCCTCAACCCAACCCCAGCAAAGTTAAATAATAGGACTTGTATCAGGAAATAATTATTATCTGCAAAATAATTCTTACAATTCAAAAATATTTTCTGGCTTTAAATAACCTGGAAAAGGTTGATAAGCCATAAAAAAACAAACAAATCAATCAGTACAATCAAGACTAAATTAATCTTCTCTTGAAATTTTCAACTTGTGTCCAAGAATCAAGCCAAAACAAAAGAGAATGCCATGACAATATTTCAAAGTACACTTAAAAGGACCATATGGCACACTAGTGTGCTGCAGAATGGTGATTAAGAATCACTGGATTAAATAAAGTGTTCACTTTGAAATTCCCTGAAGGTTACCTGGCTCAACAGCTGAAACATTATGATAATAACAGCAAACATGGGAACAGTAGTCTGGATCTAAGTAATGGGTTCCCATATTTTATAAACTGACTATTTTTCCTGATATTTACTTTTGAACAAGAGAAATGACCATTAAACCTCACAGAAATATAAGATCATCTCCTCATTTTGATTGTACCAAGTTACAGCATAAAACAAAGAGGTTTTTCAAATTCCTGTAGTTACCCAGAATGACCAGATAATTATCCATATATTTCATGACATCTTTCAGACCATCTGGTATTACTTTTTTACAAAGAGATGAATACATATGAAGAAAAAAAATCGCAAATGATTTGAGGGGAAGTTTGGATATCATAAGAAGTCTTTGTACATCAAAAGACACTATCCTAATTATTTGAGAGAATCTTTATGTAATCTTTATACAAGAAGATTTCCTACATCCTCAGATAAAAATCTCCAACTCTCCAACCTCATGATTCTTAACAAGCAAATATGCAACAGAAATTCTCCTTTTTTCATCCTTTGAATCTTTATTTTTCTAAGAATTGATCTAGGTTTTGTCATTGTTGATTCATAATATCTGCATATGTAAGTACTGATCACAGAATGATGAAAAGCAGATAGTTTGATTTGAAGAAAGTGAAAAAGAGAAAACAAAATGTTTACACATATTGAAGAGAATTTTCCATGACACTAAAGTGCAATGTCAAGTATGAATTACTGCCAAGACACATCAACTGTGTCAGTTGGAATACATTGCTTGAGGTGCAAAATTGTTACATGCAACTTTCTGCTCTCAGTCATCTTTTGTAATAGGGGCAGACTTTTGGCTTCTGGGAAAATAACTCTCCAGCATAATGTAAAATGTGAGGATCAAGAGAAAACCAAAAAAAGCAAACATTTCAATCATAAACTTCAGAAAGCAATCATTCAAACTACAAAGTGGAAATGTTTTTGCCTTTTAAATTCTGCAGACATTTCAGTAATAATCTAAAATTTAAGGCTTAAAATAAAAAGTAAAAAAAACAAACTGTAGATAAGAAAAACAACATAAGACAACTTCAAGTTCAGAGATTAATTAAAGATTCAAGATATACTTGGAACATCCTCATCTTTTTTATACTACTTATATTCTTCTGATTGTTGTATTCATCTTTATTGCCATATTCCCATTTTGGCCTTTGTATGTTCCAGTCTTCTTCAGGTGATATTTCTTGGAATTGCAAACCAAACAATTTGTTTAGTCTATGGAGGTATATAGTTCTAATTCTTCTAATTCCATATACTATGCACCTGGCATCTTAGCTTCACACCCTTTTCCACCTCCATAATGTAGCTTCCCCATGCCTTTTCTATAAATACTTTCATGGTAATTGTTCTGATGAACTTTCCACTCTATGGATTTAAGCTCAGTACTAGATTGACAGCAATGTCTCTTCATTTTACAGTTGAATTGACTAGATGTAACTATAAGTTCTATGCTAACAATTTCTTTCCTTGCCCTTCTTGTTTGTAGAACTCTATTTTGGCTCATGCTTTCCAGTCAAGTTTGATATTTAAAAATTTAAATGCAATGTCTACTGTCTTTTTGATTTTTCCTCTTTTGTTTCTTAATGTTTTTCTCTCAGGAACCCCTTGTGTTTTAGTGGCTTTACTACCTTGCATGAGGTGAAATGATTAAAAAAAAGGATTCAAACCACTAGCATGAGGATTTTTTTCCCATTTTAGAGAATATAAAACATAAATAATGAAGATACATAAGTTGTGATTATTTGATATTCTTGAACTAAAAGAGCAAATAAATATGAAATTTTGATTCACAACTCAAGAAAATAAAATTACTCTTCCCAAAATTAAAATTAAAATATTTCTAAACAAATGTGTGGAAATACTAGAATTGTTATTTTATATAAGCTTTGAATATAATACTAGAATATTTATATTATTTTATATAAGCTTTCAAGATAATTTCAGTTGTGAGACTCAAGAAAAATATATTTGATTCCCGATGCAACGACATCAATCCAACATTCATGACTATCAAGTGAAAATAACATTTGAAAGAATGTTCCTCATCCAGGAAATTACAAATGGTTACATGATTAAAATCTGCTGCCCTCTAAGTACATGTTTTACTTCAGGGTATCATATATTAAGGCAAATAGAACAATATATTACAAATAATTGTATACTATGATTTGAAGAAGTAAAAAAAAGAGAAAACTTTAGAGTAGAGTAGCTTTTTGTGCTCTTGAGTTAACACTTGAGAATGTTCGGGTATAATGATAAACTACATCTGGCAGCAAAGTCTCTGATTGGGAGGTGGAATCACCTCTTAATTGCTGTTGTACCCAGGTCCAATCTGATCTGAAGTGGTAGCACCTGTTAGGGTCCCAACTATGGGCAAATAGTTAACCCCCAAACTGGGGTCAAAACACTATGAAAGTATAAAAATACATTTTTATAGTAAAGATGCCAGCAATACATTTTTGTAAAAAAAAAATATTTTTTTAAATTAGCAGCAATGCATTTTTGAAAAGAACAAAAAAATATTAGCAGTAATACATTTTTGTAAAAGTAATTACTAATACTCCCAAGAAAATTAAATACTGAATGACCCCTAAGGAGTCGATATGTCACTAAACAAACAAGACTTGAGATAATGGTGAACTTAAGAACAAGAAATTTCTAATGTCATTGCATGTAAGCATAAAAAATATAACTAAATTCAAAATTATATTGTGTTACAGGAACAATTCTCCTTCTTTTATGTGCAGTGTACCTTTATGATGTAAGTGATCATGGCTCTCCACAATTTCCTGTTTTTTTAACTCTTAGTAAGATTGGTCTTTTTGCTATCTCTCCTAATCTGTTTTGCCAACCAATTACACAAGCTGATTAGGTAGGTTATGTGTTGCTTTCCTTTGCCTCTCTTGCTTTCAATTTGTCCTGTGAGTAGCAAATTTTCCAAGCCTTCTTTCTTCATTTCAATTGTCTCTTTCTGATTCTAAGTGTAATTGTTAACTTTGGTTACTCATATGTTCAATCCATGGGATTCTCAGCATGCTTCTGCTTTTGTTGCTTCATGTTTTTTCTTCATTTGAGTGATTGAATCATCTGTTTCTTTTTTCTTTACAGTATATCAATCTGTTTTAGGTGACTTAAAACCAGAAAACATTTTTGGATTGTAAGAATGTTTTGGGGTATATTAATGATTTACTGATACAAGTCCTACTAATTAACCCATAGCTTGGGGCAAAGAGGTAGATTCATACATTTCACAAGGGTATTTCCATGTAAGTAAATATAAGAAACCCAAATGAAATTGGAACTCAGCTTTCCAATTAGAAATTACGAACCAGTGCATCCAAGCTTACAGTATCTGGTATTCCCAAGTGGTCACCCATATAGGTACTGATCAAGCTCAACATTGCTTTATTTCAGTGACCATACAAAAATAGTGTTTCAACATATTATGGCCATAAACACCTTCATCCGTGAAAAGTTTATCCAGCATTATATGATTGTCAATAAACATGCAAATTACAAATTGCAGATACCAAACTCAAACATGTACAGCAATACAAACTTCTGCAAAATGTTTTAGCAGAGGACAGAAAGTGTGAAGAGCATTGGAATAGCAAAAGATGTCTTTCAAAAGCTAAGCAAAGAAACAGGAACATTTCATTAGAAACAAAGGAAAGATTACTGAACTGTAATGTAATATCAGTCATCCTATATGGCAGTGAATGCTGGACAATCTCCTCACAGTTGAAGAGGCTTACAGAAATATCAGATTGAAACACTGCTTCTTGTATGGTCACCAAAGTTAAGCAATGCTGAACATGGTTAGTACCTAGATAGGTGCATGACAGATTATGCTCAGACATCCCTCCAATCAGTACTGTTCACTGTTTTGCCATTCCACCAGACATATGTTCATGGATTCATCCAACTGCCGAGACTGCATTATGTATCATTTGAATGCCAAAAATAAGTTCATTACAAAGGCAGTATATGGTGCATTCCTAATCTGATTTGTATCAAACTTCTCTTCTGCACTCAGCTGTTGGTAGACAACAAATGCTCCCCATCATCAGGAATCTGCTCAATCTATTTTACCCCATACAGCCAGCTCACTGCTAGGTCTGTTTTTTCAACCTATTCAACTATGGATAGACCAGATGCTGAACCATCAAACTCCCAGGATTTACTTCGAGTCAAATGTTCTGTCTATTTTTAGCGGAAATAGCTTGTTCTTGAAAAGAAACAAAAACAAAATGAGAGCCATTCTCTCAGCTGTAATCTTCCTAATTATCATCATCAGACTTGTTGCTGCTACATCACAAGACTTGTTATCCTTTCATTGCCAACTGATGTAACCTTACAGTACTGAATTGAAAATCCAAATGCCTCACTCACACAATGTCTGGGATTTTATTAAGCAAAGTGATTGACATACATGGTAAGCTAATGCATGCAAATCAGTTATGCCTGTGTTATTGACTTCTGTCAAT